TATGAGCGCCAATACATATGCTCCTCTTGAAATAAAAGCCAAGGCTGTATGTATCTTCTTTGGGCTAAAAGGCTATTAACTGTTCTGTACTCTGGTAGCACAAATTCCGCACCATGAAAAACTGAATTATGTGCTCAAGTGTACACCACGGCTAGAACCCTACTGAAATATACAAGTATAAAATATTAATCATGCAAGCAGCTTGCACCATTTATTAGAGTGCTGATTATGCAACTGGTTGCACAGTAGTTAAGCAACTAGTTCGGAAACATGATGGACACCTTGCTAAGGAGTGAAAACCAGCTGTGTGATTAATGTTGCAGATTAGGATATTTTAACAAGATTTTGGCCCCTGAAAACATGGAGCTGTGTAAGTGACTTACACTCTCCCCTCTACTATTCAAAACCTTCTGAAGCCAGGACCGTACTCATTACTAGAGACTGCTCCTAGTATTGCTCCTACCCTTTCAAGTGAATGACGATATATAGATTTGTGGGAACGTAAGAAGATGAGAAGGCTTTTGTCTACCACCTTCAAAAGCACCTGCCAGTCAAAATAGACAATACTGAACTAAATGGACAAATTAGTCCCATAAGGTACTTCCAAAGGCTAGCCCCTAAGGAATGGAAATTGATACTTAAAGTGAGATCTGTGATGAGCCGTATGCTCGATATCAAATGTGCTTCCAGAAAATAAATACTGCCACATAGAAATTCCTGGATTTTCTTAAGTTTCTCATATCATTTTAAGTGTTTTGTGCTGTTCTAATTTGTTCAGTGTACCTTGTGCAGGAGAACTTCCTACTGGATTATGATCCCATATTAGTTCAGAGAGAAGCTTAGATGGAGGCGAAATAGGTCTACTATATGTGGGACTAAAGACATACAAAACCTATAGAGGAATAGGACTTGTTTATCCCAGCTAAGGGAATACTTACATTGATAAATAATGCAGGAATGTTTCAGGATTGGAATGGTCAGATTCACATTATTTTTGTTAACTACATGACATAAGAGTCAATGCGTATCAGCCCAAGATTTTTCAACCTGAATCTGTAGTGTTTTCCTCCTCTGCTGAGGCTTCTACTTTTTTGGAATTTGATCACAAGGCAGGGCAGCTGTATGAACCCTGTCCTCCCCACACCTGGTGCCTGGGTGTGCTTATTTCCTTCCTTCCTTCCTTCTGAAAGGCTTGCTGCCCTAGTACTAGGACAGCTAGGAGACCAAAGAGAGAAAAAAAAGAACATTACAGTAACTGGTTAGAGAGAAAGGATGAAATCAGCCTTGTTTCCAGGTTGTTAGGTAGCTCTGCTCTGACCATCCAAATTTGCAGGAGTCACAGGACAGAACTACCTTCGCAAGCTGGAAAAAAGGCTAACTCATAAGTTCCTCTTCTCTATGCTGATTTCTTGCTCTTTCTCTCCCCTCTTCAGCCACCTAGATGTTCAAGTGTTAGGACACTGAAGTTATAGAAAGAAAGAAAGAAAGAAAGAAAGAAAGAAAGAAAGAAAGAAAGAAAGAAAGAAAGAAAGAAAGAAAGAAAGAAAGAAAGAAAGAAAGAAAGAAAGAAAGAAAGAAAGAAAGAGGGAAGGGGAGGGGAGGGGAGGGGAGGGGAACAAGCAGACCAGATGTGGGGAGCAGAGGATTCAAATAGCTAACAACCTACAATCTAGGCAATTTCTTCCCATCTCTGCTGAATCATGTGTGGTTGGCTGAAGTGAATTAACCCAGGGAGACCCAACTTCCTAGGTGCAATTTCACAACAAATCTTTGCATTTTTCCCATTGTGTAGTTGCACCCTAAATTAAGTTCCATTAGTTTTAATAAGTAGGCGTAGGCACTTATGTAGGGCTGAAGTTGAGCTTAGTTTTTTGTTGTTTTTTGCTTCAGGCACCAAAATGTCTTACATAGGTTCTGTAGCAGATTTTTTTAAAGCATGTATAAATTTTGCTCTTGTACGGATATGGCCAAGCAAATGAATTCACTCTGGCTTCTGAAAACTTGGGCATTTTGCTTCATCCCTGCTTCCTTGCATCCAACTGATTTACATGCCTGGAAGAACTCCCAAGATTATTTCTGTTATATATGGCTTGAGATTTGTAGCTCTGACAATACGCACTTAGACCTATAGAAATAAGAGTGAGTGATTGTTCAAGTGCTGCCCTCGTGCCCATTACATGTTATGTGCTCCTAATGAGACACACACAGAAACACACACTTGGTAAAAGGTGCTTAAATGCAGATTTGCACATTAAAACCCTGCTGTGCAGTGAAGGTACAGAGCAGCTGAAAGAGGCAGATGGGTCAGCGGGGGAGGCGGGGGATAATGCAGAGATGCCAGGAGCAAAGGGGAAATGAGACACAAGAGGGATATTGGAAAGAAGTGTGGCAAAGGAAGAGGTCCTGTGCTAGCTGTGAGTGGTGCTAGGTAGGCAACATTAAACGAAAAGAAAGAAAGAAAAATGAGAGTAGAAAATAAACAGAACCCTGTGGCAGAAAGGAAGATTCACAGAAGAGCAAAATCTGCAAGGACTCAAAGAGAAAAATGCCTTTCTTGTTATGAGCAAAGTCTTTTGAAAGGCAAAGGCTACAAAAAAATTAACATTGTTTCCAGTATTGGCATTTAGACTTTTAAATTGGAAAATTGCTGTGTAGAATGGAAAAGCATGTTGACAAAATAAATGGGAATGAAACACAGAGACACATACACAGATAGGCCAAGATATATAAAACTATATTTTAATTGACATTTATCTATTAAAATGAATACAGTGTAAATTAGGAAACATCATATTATATTGACATTCTTTTGATTAACTAAAGCAAAGATATCAACAATAAATTAGGCTTTTGAAAATCATGCACAGTTACTTTGTTCCTTTTTAATATATCTTCTCTGGTTTTGAGATAACAATTTACTGTTGCTGTTAATATGCTTTGTAGGAAGTAATATAGTGCAAGGGGTATTGGTTAGATATTGCAATTTGCAGTGGCCGTGTATTATGGCTATTTTAAAAATTTATACACATCAAAGAATTTTGCTCAAAATGCGTAGGAGTTTTTGTGGTGCTTGTTCTTTTCCTTTGTGAAGCATTCCTACAGAAAGACTCAGCTTGGCCAAATGCTAGGCATTCGGGTAGCAGTTCTGAAATCCTTCCCTGATTATGTCAGTCCACCATGGGTCCCTATACTGTCTTACTGTCCCTCTTTGTCCGAAATCCAAATATCCAGCCTCCATTATCAAATCCTGTATGGTAGTTACAGCACTGCCCTAAACTACTATGATTTATGCTTCAGAGCTGCAATAGCCTTTCTCCAAAGGTATTATTCAGCTGAAACTGTCATTGGTGCCAATGAAAGCATAACCAAAAATGCAAAGGGACACTTCTAAGACCCTGAGTTCTTTTTTAATACTCTGTCAGGATTGGGGAGTTGGAGAGGAAAAATTAAGGCCGCCTCCACTTCTGTAGTTCAGAGTCTACTCAAGACTCCTTTTGGCTGCCATTTATATAACATACCACACTGTCTGCACATTAATTGAATTCATGGGCAATTAACTACATCCATGCAATTAAGGTTGCATCTGTTTTGACCTTTAGGTAGATCTTTATGGGGAAAGACTTCTGAAGGACATATTCTGTTACAGCAAGTTGCTGACACCTGCATCCCAAACATAGCATTACTTTATGGGGAAAGACTTCTGAAGGACATACTGTATTCTGTAACAGCAAGTTGCGGACACCTGCATCCCAACCATAGCATTATGTACTGTAGCTAATAGGACACAAAGGATGTAAGTGCATGTGTGCGCGCGCATCTCCTGGAAAATGATAACATTTGTGTGAATTGCAACTCAATCGAAAAGACATTACATTGTTGATCTGAATTAAATTCCAAAAATAACATTTCATTCTATGGGGTTCTGAAAATATTTCAGGTTTTAAATTTGTACAAAATTTCATTTAAACTCTATCCTTTTAAAACTACTCATTGTCTGTCTCAGCAGTACCTTGATCTCCAGTTCCATCATTCAACACCACACCTTTTCCCATTCCATTGGTTTGTCTGCTTAAAGATAATTCCTTTGAATAAGAGTTGTAACACTTCTGTTTTATCTAGAGCAATTTGCACACTGGAGGCACTATAATAAATGTTACAAGAAAGCAGTAGCTGGAGAAGATAAATATTTCTACAGAAAGACAATGGGAAATATATAAAAAAACTCCTAGTCTGCCTTTCTACCAGTCTTCTACTAATCTAACATCACAATGTAACTTAGCTAGGAATACAGAGCTAGGCATACAGCTGCAAGGGTCCCCTTACCTGTGTACTGTTGAGGTCACACTGGTGTGTGTTTGCAAACCATCCCTGTCCAGTAGCACACTGGTTTATATCAACATTCTGGATTTTAACATCCATCCTCACGACCCCTCTGGAACAGATAACACAAGGGGTTAAGCATATACTGGGCATGGAGAGATAACAGCAGGGGAACAGTTCTAACATCTGGTCTTCTGTAGCCTGGCCATAGAGTCCTAGCAGATGTTGCAGCACTCAACTGAGATGCATATCAGAGCTTGGACAGTTAGCTTTTGGGATACAGTTTCTAAAATTCCTCAGCAAGTATGACTGACAGCCATTCTGGCTAGGAGGTTCTGGAAATTGTGGTCCACAAATATTTTTTTTCTAAACACTCGTGTAAATAGTACATCACATAAGTGGCCTAAATAGCCTGAAAATTCCTGGCTGGGCGTGGGGCCAAATATTTGATCCAGGCTTAATATACTCACCGAAATATATACTGTACTGTGGGATTTATTTATTTATTTAGTGTGTATACCATTCCATAGTGCATGGCACTCTCTGGGCAGCTTACAGTTGAGAATTCAATCAAATAAAGCACAGTATACTATAAATGCACATTTAATTAAAAAACGATAATTAATCCTATGCCACAGACAACCCAATTTAAATGAAAATAACTAATTAAACAGCTTAACATCTCAAGTTACTAAATAAAAAGCTGCCTTTAAAAGTATAGTTTTTACCTGCTTCTTAAAAACCTGGAGGGATACAACCTCTATTGAAAGTTTATTCGAAAGAGACAGTGCTGCTACAGAGAAAGCACAATTTCTTATGCTTACTCTTTTGGCCTCCTTAGGTGTAGGTATTCTTAGCAATGTGGACTGTGAAGAGTGGGAGGACCAGGTAGCTGTTTAGGGGAAAGACACTGCAACAAGTATTGAGGTCCTAAACTATTAAGGACTTCGTTGGTAATAACCAATACAGTACTTTGAATTGTGCATTAACAGGGAGCTAATGAAAGCTTGTGAGAAATGGGGAAATATTTTTGAATCTGCTAATACCAGTCCGTTGAAGTTTCTGTATTGCCTTCAAGGGCAGCCCTAAGTGGAGACCATTGCAGTAGTCTACTTTGGAGATTACCAACTCATGAATCACTGTAAAAATGATAGCTCAAAAAATGTGAAGAGCATTCCACTAGCTTTTGTAATCATCCCTAGGCTCATGTAAGTTGGTAGCAGTTGCTTCTGTACTAGCCTCTTACATCTTTACCAGGCCGAGGCCAGCCATTGCCCAGGAGAAGGTGATTGCATCGAGCAGTGGAGTGTTTGGAGAGGTGGTGGATCTGTCATTGGCACCTACTCTCGGCGACTTGAGTTGGCTGCCAATATATTTGAGTTGTCCTCTTCCTCTAACTTCTGCCTCTGCTGCTGCCTTCTTGCTTGCTGCTTAGCTGACTAGATTAATATTGCCTCACCTTGGGAGTCTTCAGGCCAAGGAATTATTGGGGGGAGGGGTTGTAGCCAAAAAAAAGGTGTGTGGCTCAATTCCTTGTGGTCAAATGTTTCTCCTCCAGGCCAGCCAAGAAGCAACTGTGTTGTGGACAGGGGAGCAGTTGGACAAAAAAAGGCACTGCCATCATCCTACTTGAATTCCTTCTTATTGTGAGAATGACATCATGGCACGTGAGTGCAGAGATGGCAGAGGTGACACCTCTCTTCCCATGTTACGCAGAAGGAGGACTTGTGCCAAAACTGATCCCTGCCCATTTTACAGCTATTAAGAGAAACAGGAATTCTGACAGGAAAAAAGTTGCAAAGTTTCTGCTGGTGCGTGGCCTTGCTTCCTCGCCTCCTCATCTTCCTCTATTTTATTTCCAAACCACAGCATGTCATTTTAAAGAAGCTTCTGCTCTGGGATGAGATCGCCTTCAAGCAAGGCTGACTCTACCATTAGACAGAGTAAGATGGACGACTTAACAGATTTGGTTGTCTTCAAAGGACAGCCAATTCTTATTTTCTAACTCTGCTATTAATATATTTTTAATTCCAGAGATGAGGAGAAGTGCCTGTAGGACTTTTTTCCTTCATGTGTTGGGATAGTTTGGCTGGCTTTGGGTTACTATGCACCTTGATTTGGGTGGGTCTTACGGAGTGCCATTTCCTGCTTAGACACCTCACGTGTTGGACCTTAGGCTGAGCTATAAGGGTGAACCTTAACTTCCCCTAAATCTGGCAAAGTGGATCTGGAAATCAAAATGATGTTACAACAGATATATTTAATATGCATTAACATATGTGATTACAAAGCAATTTGGAGTTTATATCCATCAATGATGGTTGTAATTTGACAATGTCTTTATTTTTGTCTTGTGTGTGTGTGTGTGTGTGTGTGTACATCAGGCTTCTGTGTTTGCCTGAACTCTGGAAGAGACAGATCTCAAGCAGGCTAAAAGGGCACTGCAGTTCACTGCCTCTTTGTTGATGATTGAGTACACGAGCAAGCTAGTCAATGAAAGGGGAGGATGGACTTATCAGATATAGGACAAGCCTGAGAATCCTGAACAGAAGGGCTTATGTGTTTCAGAAAGAACTCTATTCCAGTACACTGTGTGTTAAAGGGTGGTTAAATGAGTTGATGGAAATCTGTGTTTGACTATTAACAAATTAGGCTTTTAAATCAGAAGAAGCTTTTTGACCAAGGTTTGCCTTAAACTGTGGGACGTGGTGGCGCTGCGGGCTAAACCGCAGAAGCCTGTGCTGCAGGGTCAGAAGACCAAGCAGTTGTAAGATCGAATCCACGTGACGGAGTGAGCTCCCGTTGCTTGTCCCAGCTACCGCCAACCTAGAGGTTCGAAAGCATGCAAATACGAGTAGATCAATAGGGACCACCTCGGTGGGAAGGTAAACAGTGTTCCGTGTCTAAGTCGCACTGGCCATGTGACCACGGAAGATCGTCTTCGGACAAAAACGCTGGCTCTATGGCTTGGAAACGGGGATGAGCACCGCCCCCTAGGGTCGAACACGACTGGACAAAAATTGTCAAGGGGAACCTTTACCTTTACCTGCCTTAAACTGCTCCCTGTTTACTCAAGGAAAAAGTAGAGCATTGTGCAAGACCTTCACATTCTCTTTCCCTTTAACACAACTTGGATGTAATGTGCTAAAAGTTATTTACCTGTAACACACTTGTGTGTGTGTGTAACAACATTACAGTACTTTGTGAAGTAATTACTGATAACATTGTTAACTCTTCTTAGTTGTAATGTGCCCATTACTTCTATAATGTTTATTGAGAATAATTTTGGGGATCATTTTTATTACATTTCTGGAAAAAAAGCATAATAAAAATATGCTGGTATTGCGTGTGAAATAACAATAAGTAACATTTCACAAATAACTACTAATACTTACACTTCCTTGTTTTAAAAATAGCGCTCTATGCTCCAGAGGTGGGGGGGAATGCTCTCTGCTACTTCAATGGGATTTTTTTCTTTCTAAGTTTGCACATCAGAGAGACTGCCTCTGTAATACTCCATGGCATTTCCAACCCGTTCCCTTTTCTGCATCTTTTACAGCAAAATGTTATGCTGAGTATTTCATGTAGATAAGTGAGCAAAGGAACTGGGGAAGGAACTTGATAATATCAAAAACCTGTCTGTTCCAACATTCTGTTCACACAGTGGCCAAACAGATGCCTACGCAAAGCTCACAGAGTAGGGTGTCAGGGCAGTTGAACACTCCATCTTGTGTTCCTTTACTCTTAATGCAGAGAAGCATATTTAAACCATGATGTTGGCAGCTATTGAGTTTGTCATCGGTCGTTCTCCATGCCATTCTTGTTCTCTCACTGCAGCTTGGTGTTTTTGTTTGTTTGTTTCCTCATCTTTACATACAGTACAGGCACCTAGATCTGGCACCAGGCTTCGCTGGTGCTTTCACTTCCATTCAGAAAATTTAAATGGTCTAACAATAGGTTCCCATGGAAACACATGGCTAGGCCATTTACTTTCCTTTTGTACATCAAGTTATAGCCTCAGTGCAATCATCCGCGCTATTATGGAAAAAGTTATGTACGAATTACACTTCAAATGGAGGTTTGGAGGGAAAAAAATTAGCCCCTCCCCACCATCTAAAGTGCATGGGCAAAGTGGCTGCCACCCATCTGATGCCCTTCAGACATGGCAAATTATAATCATCAGCATCATCATGCAGACAATATTAGTCCTATGCAACAATGATGGGAGCAGTGGTCCAAAGAATCTGAAGGGCATGGTGTAAAAAAAATAAATAAATAGAAAAAAGCAGTAAAACACTATAGCTTGTGGCTTTTTAATGCTGGACTCAAACCACTTGTTTACATATACTCATGTGGAAATGAGAGTTATGTATTTGTGGAGGTTTTGCAATATGAAAGGAAAGAAAGGCAGAATATTTATATTGTGGCCACTAGCCTGGGTTCTGTTTTTTAATATTTGGAGAAAAGAGTACACGTGAATGCAGGCCATCAGGACATGTGTTATTCAGGAAAGAGTCAACTATGTGGAATATCATCTCACTCTGATAAGAGCATTGAATGCTGGAATATCATTATAATTAAATAGCAGTGAAGGCAGAGGAAAGAACTGAGGAAGAGTTAGGAAAGAAAGGTCAGTTGGTAATAAGTAAGAAAAGAAGCTGTGGCAAGACCTAAGTAAGAAGACAAGAGAGCAGATTCACAAGACATCAGAAGACAAGGGGAGAATGACTATAATAGAAATGGAACTATGAAAGAAAACATATCCAACAATATGGTAGTGGAGGCAGGGAACACAGGTTGACACTCTGTCACTTTCTGAGAAGCGGGGAGCATGGCATAATCTGCCACCCCCTCAGGATTCCCTGTGTCTTCTGAGTTTAGCCGAAATCCTTGTAGTACCTGGAGAGTGATTTTCTGAGGGAGAGTATATTGTTATAACCTATCCCTGCAGACTGCCTGAGGATTTTTTTGATCTTGAATAGGCAATTATGAGCCATTTGTTTTTCAAAAACAGCACCTCCTTGGTTGATATAGACCTGTCCACCAATTTGGGGACTCTCGATATGGTGGGGGCTGGCTGTGGGGAGTGTTGTGATGAGCATCTGCGCTTTCAAATGTATCACTACGTTGCTAGTATCTGGCCAACAACATGTGACTCAAAGCGGGAGCTCAAACTGCATGTCATGTGGAAATTCTGTGAGGGTAATTTCTCCCATTTTCTTTCTTTCTTTCTTTCTTTCTTTCTTTCTTTCAAAAAAAAAACTATTGGCTGGGCAATTTTTTTCAGTAATGCAGAATGGGGCAGTGGGGATTATGCTTCTGTTCTGATCCCTCAGTTTACATCTCCATTGCAGTGCCTGTTCACTGCTGGGGGGAGAAATTGAGGCTGTAAATGTCAGTGTTAGGGAGGAATGCTTAATATTTTGGTTAATGTCTATTAACCAGAATATTAAGCATTCCTCTCTGAGACTAGAGGACTTTGAAGATTTGTTTATAAAATCAGTGCGGACGATTTCAGCATTCCACAGCACAATTAACTGCAATGTTTCACTCCTGGCCACTCAGTTGTGCCTTGCACAGGTACAGGTGCAGCCACACATATTTTTGTTGCTATAAAATCAGGTATGCTGTTTTGGTTTCCATAACTAGGTCTAACTGAGAAAATCTATATATGCTGTTATGATTTTCCCATCAAATTTCTGTGAGTAAAACTAGCAGTGCGTGCTGCCCTATCTTGATAGAACAGTGTTGGCAGCCAAGGATATTCTGATGATCTGCATCCATAGGTAAAACTAGTTGTTGTTGATGATGATGATAGATTATTCATCTCTGTTTTCTTCCTTTAGTTAAGAGGAGGGGACAAGGGGTAAGAAAAACAATAAATTGCTTAAACAGTGCAAACTGTCAAGTGATCTCCAGTGATCTCATTCCAGGAGAAAACAAATCTGAGTACTGTACATGCTGTCCCATTGGAACTGCTGCTTGGAGAACTGGAGTGAGCATGATAACGTTATACATGTAATCTTTACTTTGAAATCCTATATCAGCGTGGAGAACTGCATCCATCTGAATTTCCAGGTGCTGTTGACCTACATCTTCCTTCCTTCCTTCATGACTACTGACCATGCTAGGGAGTTGTAGCCCAATAATGTTTGGACAAGCACGCGTTCCCCATCCCTCATCCAAATCATTGAACAGATGTTTTCCACCTGTTACCAATATTGGCCTTTAACTGAAAGTAGGAGAGAGTGGACCTGGGACTTCTTCGTGAGCAAGGTATATCTTCTACTACTTAGAGAGGGACTTTATTTCAAGAAATACACTTCATTCTGAAGTTTCACCTGAATCTTTTGTAGGCAGCTAGAGCTTTGAACCTCAATTCTCACCAAGTAAAACAAATATATGTTCTCCTTCTTCATTCATACATCCTTTACACTGAAAATTGTAAATCTCTTTTTTTCTAGGTACAATTAATGATCCCAGGGAGCCAAGGATTGCTCATTTCCAAGGACTATGACTTCAATTGCTTGAATTATTCCAGTTTTTATTCTCCGCAGCATAAACAAGAAGTGTATCAGATCTCTCTACTGATACTATAGAGGTGGGCTGTATTCAAATCTTTTGGGGGTCACAATTTATGCGGGAATCCTATAGACGTAGCAAATGCTTATGGTTCATTCTGTCTGTTATCTTTTAGATTTTGTTATTAGTCTTGCATTTCTCACCTTAGTCCATTCCATCTTGTCAATGTTTTTCTTGAATTGTGGTGTCTGGATGAAGTAATGAAAAAGTCATGTGTGGAGTGAAGCTATTATTATACTCTTCCAACATAGAGAGGGGTATGCATTGATCCAAATTTCCATGGGGTGACAGGAAATTGTCCGTACTTCTTGGCTTATTTTAGATATTTATACTGTACCTTTCAATGACTCATTCATGCCCCAGGTGGCTAACAGCAATAATTAAACAGAAAATAAATAAGATAACAAGATATTGATTCTGGGTGTAGTGTGAGAAGATTCTGGGTGAAGCAGTTACTTTTTCAAACAACAGGTGCCATAATCCTAAGCAAGCAGGATTTGATGGAGACCAAAGAAATGGGACCTCTGGTTGAGCTCCTTCTTCCATTGGTAAACTTAGCTGGTAGTACCAGCTGAGGTTGGATCAGACATTTTGCTTACTAAGGTGGAGTAGCAATTGGTTCCTCCCCACTCAAAGACATGGCATGTAGTATCCAGAAGCAGACAAGTTACTTTGGCACAACAGCCTCTTTTCATTGTGCTAGCATTAAAAATAGAATAATTATAAATTAGCTACTAACCGTTATCTGGCTTTTCACAGTAATCGAAATATTCTGCCTCAAGTGGGTGCCTCACCCTAATTAATTGTAGGGCCAGCCCTGACACCAGTGAACAGCACTACCAGCCAGTTTGGTCTAGATGCAATCTGGATTTTTCACAATGCCTCAGATGAAGGCCTCCTGGGGCATTATAAGAAATAATGATGATGAGTAGTCCTAGCCGTTCAGCTGTCTATTACTGCTTGGAACACCAAGCTGGAAACAAATTTGAAGGAGGAAGGACTCATGACAAGAATCTCTGCTAGGTTTTTGGGGCCCAGGCAACTACTTAAGGATGTCAGATGTTTGTGGCAACCCAGATGTCAGAATTAAATGGTAGATCTACAGACTGTTTATAGACATAAGTGAATTAGCAAAGAAAAGAGCTAAACAGGATTTCTGTTGTGTTCAATAAGTAGTGTAGGAACAAAGTAAATGTATTACACTGTATGGGACTATGGCATTCTGGAATATAAGATAACCATTTAAAACATGGTATGCCTAGGCTTCTAAATAGCTTTTTGACTGCTTGCCTTAGGTGTGAATTGTCTCAGACGAATAGGCAAAGAGCCTTTCATAAATCAGTAACTGCTTCTTCTTCTTTGTTATATGCCACTTTAAACTTAACAGCTATTTTAAAAAACAACACCTTATACGAGTCATGGGATGGCTCTACACTGGCACTGTTGATGGGTCTGTTTCTACAGTCTAAATATTCTGTTTCTGGGGCTTCTGTCCATTACAGAATAGAAAACATACAGTCACACATGCCTTATTAAAAGGAGGTTAAGCAGCCAGTCCTACAAAAATCAATGAGACTGCTGTCAAAATACTTTATTCCCCTTTCTATAACACCCCCACCCTTACTACCCTGATTAGAAACTTCTAATTTATCTTTTTAATATTATGGCTGTCAGGAATTCACACAAGATAGATAAATCTTATCACCAGATAAATAAATGTGATTGTGGACATACAATCTCCTTTCTCTTTTAACGACCGTGTAAGGTTAAAGGGAAATACGTACATTTCTACCTCAGGGGACTATTTCTGTATCTCTTTTCTCAGGTTCAGTTTGACCTGCTTGCCCACTAGTTCTCAGTCCTAAAACCTTCTTTCATTTCAGTCTTGAGACTTAGTTCTAGAGTGTGTAAAGTAATATTGAAAAAGAAGGCTGTGTTTCCTGCCATGTGCAAAATACCTTTCTTTTGTCATAGTTCACACACTTCCGGTATTAGAAGGTAAGGTTGTTAGGGTCTGGTTATGGTTCCCAAGCACTTGAATGACCTTTTGAATTATCAGAGTGGGCTTGCTGAAGATAATGGAATAACAATATAACAACATAAAATGTATTCCTTTGGACACCTATAGTAATCTCCTCCAGGTAGTTATGTGAGGATGCTTATAAAGACTGGAGTTTTCTTCCACCACCACCACCCCTCCGGGTAAGCTAGTGTAGTATTGCTGAGGTAGTGGTGGTAAAGCTGCATCAGCAGCCCCTCAGCAATGCTTCTCTTACTGCTAAGGGACCACCTGTCTTGCAGTAAGAGATTTCCAGGTAAAACTGGAGCCCACACAGCACATCTGTTTTTAATAGTCTGGCATTTCCAGGTGACATCCCTGGGCAACGGTTTGTAAAGGACAAGGTTTATGCAGCAGTATAAGCAGAGATATAGTGGTAGTCTTTATGGCTTGATGCCACAGTTTGTACTAATGAAGTTATTAATTTTATATACTGCCCTTTCTCATTTTATTTTAGTACAGAATTACAAAACAAGGAATAATTCTATGATGCAATGAATAGCAGGCAAGTGTAAATGGATCTTCTCTTTGATTCATGCCCAATGGAAAATGAGCGAAGACCCAGGGGTTTATTTAAATCCACATTTGGAACATGGGGAATCATAGAGTAAGTGTATGTGTCTGCCTGAAGATGCACTGAGTGCTATCTCATTGTTTTTGAGAACAGCTTAAATCTGAAACCCGGCCCTCTGAATCAGAGGACTCACTCAGATGCTATCTCATTGTTTTTGAGAACAGCTTACATCTGAAACTGGGCCCTCTGAGATCCTAAATCAGAGGACTCACTCAGTGTTCTTTGCTCAGGAGCTGGTCTCATATGCCTTTCTATTTCAGCACTTTACCTTGCCCTCTCCGACCCTGCCAGATGCATAAGGACAAGTAAGGGTTACTTAGCTGTGATGAGAAAGCTCTTTATGCACTTTGTTATTGTCATCCTTACTCTTACTGCTGATCATTACTGTTATTCTTCATAGAGTAAATCATGCCTGGAGAACATGATTTACAGGCATCTTATATATAGATCAGGGTGAGCAACTTGTTGCAGAACTTCCATCTCCTGCATCTTTCAGCATTGGCTATGTGAGTCAGGGATGATGGGCTCTGCAGTCTAATAACATCCAGAGGACCAATCCTGTTATAGATCCAATCAATAAAATAGTACCACGTTCTGAGATTTTTTATGTTGTAATTTTATTGTAAGCTGTTACAAGAGCCTGGGGAGATTCTCGGTGAGTTATGGATATTAGTGATAACAGAGACACAGACTCCTATGCTCAATATTAAAAAAATGTTTGAGTCCAGATCCATTCTCACAAAAGGTGCCAGGCAGGCCATTGACCCTTCCTAAAGATTGCTGTCATATACGATCCAGCTCCCTCATCGTTGTTTTTCACATATTTTTTCAAACCCAGGAGGTCAGGCCACCATGTAATCCCCTCATCCCTCACACCCTTTAACACTTACTTGAATTCTGGATTTAGGTCAGGTTTCAGGCCATAGAAGGAAGAGGAGAGTGTGACCATCCAGTTGGGCAAGAATTTCCCATCCTCACATTCCAGGAAAGGAGTCGACCATTTGACGTGACCTGAGTCCATCACATAGCTATCTCCTTGGCTCCATTTGGGGGTGTCCAGGGTCTTGAGGTCATTGCTGAGAATTCGCTTGTACAGGAGAGGGGCTCTCTGGAACCGGAAAAAGTTGTACCACTCGTTTTCCCAAGTCAGATTCCTCAGGTTCTCTGCAGAAGCTGAGAGGTCTTGGAGTAAGATCTCATTGTTCTCCTTGGTGGCTTGGACCATCAGCTGAGGCTTGGAAGACACCGGGTGAGCATCAAAGGTCAGCACGGCTCGGTAAATTTGAGGATCTCCATCCATAACACTTCTGACCAAGGCATGGTACCACTCAACATCCTCTTTCACACTGGACTCTCGGATGTCGTTGGTCTGGAAGACCATATTGAGGAAATTGGTGGCATGGGTCAGGGTGTCAGTAGCACCACGCAGATAGGAACGCAAGGCTGGTGCAGGACCAGAGGCCTTCCCCATATCCCTCACTTCAAACCTCTGGCTGCAGTTGGCTTGTAAGAGGCTCAAAACATCCCCAGAGTACAGAAAGGCCACAGCTGCCTCCAGTCCCTCAGGATCAGCCTTTTCCAAGTTAGGAGTAGGCACCCACGTGAAAGCTGAAGCCAAAGAAGACGAGGAAGAGGAGGAGGAGGAAGGCATCCAATCCTTTGTTTTGGGAGTCCTGGCCTTGGGTGGAGCCGAGTATTGATGCTGAAAAATCCCAGCTGCCCAAAGGATTTCAAGATGAAAGCAACAAACAAAAAGAAGTCTCAGCAGAGAGATCTCCATGGTTCAGCAAAGGGCTCCAAAAATGCCAGAGTCATCTGGCAGGAATCATTTTAGTCATGGCAGGGAAGCCCTCTTTGGAAGTCCTGATGTATCTGAGAGGAATCTTGAGATCCTCAGGAGGTGGGGGAAGAAAACCACGAGAAGCAAAGCTGGCCGCAGTCCTTCTCTGAGGTAAACATTCCCAAAGAACATTGGAACACCTGAAAAAATAGAGTTGCTTGCCTCCTTGTAAAATTTACAGGACTTTCCTCTTGTCTGCCACTCTCTGTTCTCACTTGCTTTTGCTCCTTTCCCTCCCTGGTCAGTGGTGGAGCAAACGTCACCACAATATGAGCAGCTGCTGGCACTGCCCCCGTTGCTTTCCCCTCCCCAACTACTATTAGATGCCTGGGCTTTTAAATCTCTGCAGACGCAGACGCGCGTATGCACACACACACACACAGAGGGAGAAAGAGCACTCTATCAACAACCTAACTTACTAATGCTTGAAATGGAGAAATCCTGTGTAAGGCCAGAAAGGAAGCGAGGGGGTGGGGAGAGCGAGCGAGCGAGATTGGAAGAGAACAATGTCTGTCTCTCTCCATCTCTCTGTCTCACTTTAGTTCCATTAGGGGATATAGGTCTGACAGTGATGCAAGCAACCAAATCCTGCACGGAGTGTCATGGCAACAGGAAATTTGTCTTCCCACCTCACCCCTCCCTTTTCTTTCCCTCCCAGCCTTTATTTCTCTCTTTCTCTCCCCCCACCCCTCCATTCAGCAGCTTGACTAACACCATGATAGTCATTTATAAGGTCACCTACTGCCTACTGATGTTCATATCACGTTGCTAAATATAATTAACTGTTCAGGCACCAGGGAAGGAAAAGGAAGCAGGGGGTGCTGGTGGACAAGGATAGAGAAATTTCATACAGGGCATTCTGTTCTTTTGCTGTCTACATGCTGAAATGTTACCGGAGGTGAAAGAGAAGGTTGGAGAGTGTAATTCTAAGAAGTACAAATGCAGTTGTGACCTAATTTGAGCCAGAGTTTATCAGGGCTCAGTCCCAAGATTCCGATTTTTCCAGTTTCAAGGTCCACCTCTGCACTATAAAAAGCTATACAGTAATAGAGTACTTGTGAGCATACACAAAGTTAATTTTCAAGTCCATTTTATCAGACCATATGCCATATCCTTGCCATGTATTGTTCTATATGGTCCTCTAGATTTATTTATTTATTTATTTATTTATTTGCTTATTTGCTTATTTATTTATTTAATATCCCACTTAGCTGGTCGGTTAAGACCACTCTAGGCAGCTAGAGGAATGGCATTCAGGAAGAGTTCTTTTACATTGTCTGTGTGTTTATTTTGTTTTGTCTAATTTTTTTCTCATTTAAGTTGAGGGAAATGTCATTTTGAAATTGTGGGAGATGTGTGCTTTTTATTTGCTCTCCTTATACTTGACCATTGATAGAAAACGAGTGTTGTTAATTCACTTTCCTTGAGGATTTTGTTGTTCACAACAATCTTATTTTCTACAGTGAAAAAAGTAATTTGACTTGAGTTAAAGTCACCCAAAAGGACAAATTGTGTTTGCTAAGAGGGAGAGGGAGTTAGAAAGAAAGAGAACACAAAAATAGGAATAGCAGGGTATTTAGAGAGAGGGCTACCAGGAGAATGAAGGGGAGAGGCACCAGAAATGACAGTATTGTATTTCTACCTTGGTGAGTCATGTTGAATTGACTAACATAAGTTGTGTTGATTATAGTGGCTTTACTCTAATTATGATTAAGTATTGACACAACCCATTTAAATTAAAAGGCCTCTCCTCCAGTTTTTCATTTCTGTCAAATTTTAGGGGCTTTGAAAACTATTCTGAATCAAATTGAGCTTTTTGTAGTTAACCTGATATTTTCAATTTTTTGATTTGATCTGATTTTTTTCTTTAGTATTTATTTGTACTTAGCTGGGTTCCCCTTGACAATTTGTCCAGTCGTGTCCAACTCTAGGGGGCGGTGCTCATCCCCATTTCCAACCCATAGAGCTAGCGTTTTGTCCGCAGACAATCCTCCGTGGTCACGTGGCCAGTGCAACTAGACACGGAACGCCGTTTACCTTCCCACCGATTGATTACATTCATTCTTATTAATTGATGAATAAAGTTATTTTGAACTTCAGTTCAGATAATGTGGATAAGAAAGTCATATTCAAAGCCACAACTAGTTTCCCATCTCTAAAGCCACTGATAGATGCCTAACTTGGTTTTAGACTTAAGTAATCCTGTTTTAGAAGTGAATCTCTTGGGGATTCAGTGGGATACAAATAAGTGAAAGCAAAGTTGAGAAAAGTTCATTTTTAAACAATCTTAAAATCCATGTCTGTTAGAATAAAATAAAAATTTTACAAAGTAATATGAAAATAGTATTTGACTTCTATGAAATCAAATATTATAGATTCTTTTTTTCAAAAATTTTTGGAGATGTGGGCAAGAGGTTGGTACCTACTTCGAAATGTGGTGGCAGTGTGAACTTGTGTTGAAATTTTGGAAAATAGTATTTGAAGAAATGGGGAAAATACATTTAACAATAGAAATTTTCCCATATATTTCAGTATTATTTATTTTTGAAAAAGAACACTATTACTGGGCTAACTCTTAACTATGAGCATGGTGACTGTTGCTAAACTAGTAATTGCAAGAATTTGGAAATTGAAGTATGTGTATCAATTAACTGAATGGTATAATTAACTTTGGGAGGAAGCTATCAATGACAAGTTGATATGGGTTATAAAAGTTAAATAGAGGTTGTTTAAAAAGAATTAGTTTGTTGAAATGTGGCAAGACTTTTTAAACTATGTATTAAGGAAATGTGAAGGTTATGTACCTAAATATGAGATAATGTTATTGTGGAAGGATTATGGGGCATCGTAATAATAGTAACATACAAAATATATTTTGGCTTGTAGACCAAAAACTTAATGTTTTCCAAATCTCCTTCAAAGTAAACATGTTTTAGATTGTGTGGAATTAATTATTAGAATGCCCACTGTAGCATATAGCTCTGCTCTCACCTGTCCGTCACAGCTGAGCAGGGGAACATCAGCCAATGAGAGGACGGAGGGTGGTGCAGAAGGTGGAGGAGCTGGATTATATAAGGTGTGTGTGATGTGTGAGAAGGAGTCTTGAGAGTTTTGGAAGATGAGAGAAGTTGTTTGAGAGAGTGAGGCAGATTTGTGAGAGCTAGTCAGTGAGGGAAAAGTCTGTGTGATTTGGTAATTGAAAACCGTGATTAAACTTGATTTACTACCTGTGATTTACTCCTTTTTATTTTGTTAAATCAATAAACAACATTTTGTTTGAAAGAAACACTTGTCCTTTTTGAGTATTAAGGATAGGTTGGTGGCAGCAGTTTGAAGAAGAGTAGTGAGCACTCTGGGAGGCCTAAGTTGACAGAGGCTTCAGAGTGGCCCGCTACACCCACGTTTCACTTGAGATCATGTAGATCTGGTTGAAAACCATAACTATGACAATCTTAATGAAATAAAATGTGACACTTTAGAAAATGTGGGTTGTAAATTTAAATAAAATGTGACACTTTAGAAAATGTGGGGTGTAAATTTAACTGAATGTTGTATTTGTGAGAGCTCATATCCGACTCTTCATGACCCCATGGACCAGAGCACGCCAGGCCCTCCTGTCTTCCACTGTCTCCCAGAGTATGGTCAAATTCATATTGGTAGCTTTGATGACACTGTCCATTCATCACGTCCTCTGTCGTCCCCTTCTCCTCTTGCCTTCACACTTTCCCAACATCAGGGTCTTTTCCAGGGAGTCTTCTCTTCTCATGAGATGGCCAAAGTATTGGAGCCTCAGCTTCAGGATCTGTCCTTCCAGTGAGCACTCGGGGTTGCTTTCCTTCAGAATGGATAGATTTGTTCTCCTTACACTCCAGGGGATGATCTTAGTTTTTTTGATGTTGAGTTTCAGACCATTTTTTGCACTCTCCCCTTTCACCCTCATTAAGAGGTTCTTTAATTCCTCCTCACTTTCTGCCATCAGAGTGGTCCCATCTGCATATCTGAGGTTGTTGATATTTCTTCCGGCAATCTTAATTCCGGCTTGGGATTCATCCAGTCCTGCCTTTCGCATGATGTATTCTGCATATAAGTCAAATAAGCATATAAGTGAAATTTAACTGGATAACAATGTACTGTACAAATCAGTGCAGAGTTTCCCCCCATCTATTTTTTTCCTCTGCTACTGGGTGGTTCTTATATGGTTTTTGAAATCAAATGCATTTGCATTGGTTCAGGCAGTGTAAGTGCTTGAGCCAGCGTACAAAAGCTTGTGCAAGGGTGGTGGTCGTTGGTCGGGTGGGGAAAGAGAAGGACTGCTTCCATCAGTGTCAGTTCCCCTCCACTGTTTTTTAAAAGGCCAATTGCCAGCACTGAAACAAAGTTGCTCTAGGGTAGTGAGAGAGAGAGAGAGAGAGCGAAATAGAGAGAAGGACTTTGTCAATCAGCCCTTGTTTCCTGCTTCTTAAGGCAGGTTCTGCTATAGTTCTGCCTCCTTCAAGTCTTGATGGCTGCAGCAGAAGCAGCTGTTAACAAGCTACAAACAAGGGCTGATTCACAATGTCCTAGTCCCCTGTCTAGTCAGTTAAAGCAAATTTACCTGAGGGAACTTCACTTACTGGGTGTGAATGCACAAAAAGGTCAATGTGCATTTTTCTTTCAGTATAGTCACTACACCAGACCAAAAAAAAGAAAAGAAAAGCATGGAGGGCCAAAGATTCAAAGAGAATCAGATAGTCATGGTAGAACAAAATTTGGAGTTGAGTGATTACTTTTTTGGTTGGATAATGGAAGTATTATAAACAGTCTTCTTCAGGTTTAAATTGTATAAAATTGTGGGAGATGGTGGGTGAATTAAAAAGTAAAAAAACCCAGCAAGTTGTAACAGCTGTTGTCTCTTTAGGAAGACTCAGGGCACAAGATAGAAATCAGATTCATGCGGAAAGGGTGTTTTAAAAATGAAGAAAAAAGAACTGGATTATTTTGAGAGAGAGAAAAAAAACATGCTTAATGAACCAAGTTTTGGAAAAATCCCTTGTGTTTTTTTTTTCTCTATTTTTCTGCTAT